TCGTGGGACTGAGGTGGCAATGTCTCCGGGAATCGTCGAGGGACTTCGGGACACTTCGAGTTCGTGATGAGAGCTTCATGGGTCTTCGGATTGCCAGAGGTCGCCAGCTCTCGGGCAACTCTAGGGGAAACGTGACGTAGGAGCCCGGCTGGTTCAATGTGGAAGGGGAAGTGAAGTATTTCACCGAGATCAGAAGGAGGTTGAGTGAAATGGTCCTTTGGTGACAAAATGGTCAGGAGATTGATTTGAAAGGAGGTCAGAGGACATTTAGAGTTAATTGATACTCTGGGATAAATGGTTTTAATTAAATAACATCTAGAGAAGTCACTGCGCATGCGCCGACGGACTTGGTTCGGGCGACTATGTGAGCGACAGAGTATAGTTGTCCGGAAATTGATTGGAGGAGTGAACGGAACGAGCAGCCAATGAGCGTCGTTACCGCGTTTTCACAGTCCAGCGTGGTGTCGCTGGGAAAACGAACCTCACTTCCCGTTTGGTAGTTCCAACACACGTTGTGTTTGCTCTTTGTAAAGTTAATTGCGTTAGTTTTGGAGTTTTGGGGAGCCTGAAGGCGATATCGAAGGAGAATAAGACCTGTGGAGGAAGCCTTGAGTGGATTCGTCTGGAGGAAGATCCCGAGGACTCGGAATTGAGGAGTTTTTGAGACGTTTTCCGGAGGCATCGAGGTGGACTGCTGGGTGAGCGTGATGGCTACGACTCCGTATGACGCATCTTTGTAAATTTGTCGTGAGTAGGACTCTGGCCAATTTTAGAATTTTGAATAGATGCTCCGGGCATCTTAGTCCCGTAGGACTTCTAGATTTTCGAGATAATTGCCGGATAGTCCTCGTCACTCTGATCAGTACTTAATTAGTCTTTTCGTCTCTCTCTCGTGCGTAATTGGAATCATTGTGTATGATCATTTGATTTCGGTTGTCTCGCGACAGTGTTTCATTTCGTAGAGTCTCGGGCTCTCGGGTTTCATGTTGCGAGTAACTATTATTTTATGAATATTTTGGTTGTTAAAAATGAGTTAGTGTTGCGTCTAAGTTAATCGGCGTTAGATGAACGCTCTCTCTGTCGATGAATATCCAGTGAAGGACATTGAACGTAGGTCTTTTGTGTCTCGTGACCTTGCTTCGTTTCGCTGGCCCATTGTCTCGAGTTTTCGTATTTGTGTCGGACAGCCAGCGTTACATGTCACGTAGATGAATTCTTAGGTTTCGATCGTTCAGTGTTATTCAATCTACATGATTATTGTGGACGATATTTTGATTCTGCTTTTATTTTTTCTCTCTTTGACTTTGGTTATTCTTGACTATCTCTTTTGACTAAATTGACTACTTCTCTATTTTCCTATCAGAATCTTTTATTCCTTGGACAAGTGTAGAATCAGTACTATTGAAGCC